AAAAACGCATGGTTGTTTTTAATGTAATCCATAAAGCAAGCAAGCATTGTGTTGTCTTGTTGTGATTCTTTTGCCACGTGTAGTAGCGCAAAAAGTAATAGAAAGCTATTGACATAAGAACTGATGAAAACTGCGTCAAAGTCTTTCATACGACGCTACTGCCATTACCGCATATTTTTGCGCTACTGAGAAATATCCAACATGAGAGTAAGTTGATTCATACATGGAAATGAGATCGGTCAAATCCTATTTTGATAGTAATTGAAATTGATAATGTACTACCGAATGATGTGTATTACTTCTAGAGTTAACATACATCTTGTGTTTGATTAACCAATTCTCTCTGTCATTCATTAACAGTTATGGGCATCATTATTCTGTTAATTTAAAGTAAATTTGTATTATTGACAATTTAATTTGATAAATTTCAGGTTTCAATTATTTGCACTTCTTAATCAAAAAATAGAATACTTTAGTTTAATGTTGAATTCAATAACTTATGAAGTGAAAATAATTCAAAATTAAAACACTTTAAATTATTGATAATTTAAACTTATTTTTAAATTTAAATTTCTGACAATTTAATTTATGGACAAAATTAAATTACAAGTAAATATAAATTGACATTTCTACTGACAGCGAATATTGGTTGGGTGAGAAGCTTATTCGAGCGATAGGGAAAGCAGTAAGAGGTCCTTCAATATCTACCTCTTTTAGGAAATTCATAAAAAGATTTACGACTCCAATACATGAAAAAAGTGGACCCATACGAGTGCCATGGATAAGTGTGAGTAGAAGAAGTTGATTCCTACTTCTGATTTAACGGAAACAGAACAAGAACCAAGTCACAACTTAATCAATACCCTTCTTACGAATTACCAATAGAGCAGCAACAACGATCCAAAGCAGAACCATTATTTGTTTCTGTCAATGGAAGAAAAATAAACCAACTTGTCAATATTTAATCTACTATTTGAAGACTAACAAAAATCATTGGAAATACAGGTAGTAAACGATTTTGTTCAGTACTATCATCACCTAAATATAAGTGCAGCCTTTTATTCTATTCATCCTCATTCGCAACATATTCTGCTACTTTTGGCGAATGATTCAGTGATGTATGAATTACTACTCGGAATCAGTTCATCGTCATAACTAATATATAAACAAAATTTTGAAGTAACGTGACCCAAGTAAATTACTGCTTCTCATTCTATTCTCGTCAAGCATTTTCTTCGTGAATAAAATACCGACTAAATTTAACCTCTAATTGCAGAACGATACTCATCTACTATTGAAGTAGTTAGAATCTTTCAGAACGGAGCGTCGATTATTGGAAACCGTGGCGATTTTTGATCTAACAATGAGGTCGTATCATTTTTTCAATGTTTAAACATTTATATTGATTACATTTAGTATTTGACCAACCCATATAAACCGCTTGTTCGAATCAGTTGATGCTGGGTAGTTCCATGGGAAGTCAACCACAAAAACACAAAGTATTTAAAAAATTTCCTTTTTCATCAGGTTTTGTAGAGCTTTTTTTTCTGATCATTTTGGTAAAAAAAAGTTGAGTACTTCCTATAAAAATAGAAAAGTTATGATAGAAATACTAAACAGCCTAAAATGCCTAAAAATGCATTTTTTCAAAATTTTTTAAAGCGGAGTAATTCGTTGTGTGTGGTGTTTGCTCTACATTTTTCCAACGAATTCTTATTAAAATTACATATTCTTGTAGCCCAAGTGCCAAGGTACAAGAATTGCTGGTTTGGAGACTATTTTTTTAACGAAATTGTTGACTGTTTAATGAAAAACAACCAGTGAGTGACTACAGAAAAGTCAATTAGCATTATCCAAAATGGCTATATTCTACGAGAATGTGCTATACTGGGTTTTGTAGAGCATCGTCTCCTCTACAACACCCTATATTTAGTTTCTCATTTACTCTTGAATAACATTCACAAATCCAGGCGAAACATAACTTACTGCATTCTCAATAATAAAGTGAGGGTATATCTGCGGGATGCAAATCCCTTTTTTTCAAATGCAATCTCCGGTTTTTGATGGAGCTGTTAGAGCTTTCAATTTCAAGTATTTTGGTAAAAAAATTCTTTTGAAAAGCTTTTGTTTTCGTGGAGATAAACCCAAAATATTGTAGGCACTAAAAACCAAAAACCCTCAAAATATGATTTTTTCGTTATAAGTTATAGAAAAAGGTTTTCATAGCTTTTCTTCCATCAAACAAGGTCAAAAAGAAAAACCAAGAGCATATTCAGATTCCTCGTGAAACGGCGCATTGGTGGACACTAAAATCCACTTCGATTTTCATGAAAAAGTTAACTAATATTTGTTCCCACTGACTAACGACCACTCCACATTATGGAACTTTTTTGCCTACACCACCAAAAATCGTAGTGATTTTACAAAAACTAAAGTAGATTTTAGTATCCACCAATGCGCCGTTTCACGAGGAATCTGAATATGCTCTTGGTTTTTCTTTTTGACCTTGTTTGATGGAAGAAAAGCTATGAAAACCTTTTTCTATAACTTATAACGAAAAAATCATATTTTGAGGGTTTTTGGTTTTTAGTGCCTACAATATTTTGGGTTTATCTCCACGAAAACAAAAGCTTTTCAAAAGAATTTTTTTACCAAAATACTTGAAATTGAAAGCTCTAACAGCTCCATCAAAAACCGGAGATTGCATTTGAAAAAAAGGGATTTGCATCCCGCAGATATACCCTCACTTTATTATTGAGAATGCAGTAAGTTATGTTTCGCCTGGATTTGTGAATGTTATTCAAGAGTAAATGAGAAACTAAATATAGGGTGTTGTAGAGGAGACGATGCTCTACAAAACCCAGTATAGCACATTCTCGTAGAATATAGCCATTTTGGATAATGCTAATTGACTTTTCTGTAGTCACTCACTGGTTGTTTTTCATTAAACAGTCAACAATTTCGTTAAAAAAATAGTCTCCAAACCAGCAATTCTTGTACCTTGGCACTTGGGCTACAAGAATATGTAATTTTAATAAGAATTCGTTGGAAAAATGTAGAGCAAACACCACACACAACGAATTACTCCGCTTTAAAAAATTTTGAAAAAATGCATTTTTAGGCATTTTAGGCTGTTTAGTATTTCTATCATAACTTTTCTATTTTTATAGGAAGTACTCAACTTTTTTTTACCAAAATGATCAGAAAAAGAAGCTCTACAAAACCTGATGAAAAAGAAAATTTTTTAAATACTTTGTGTTTTTTGTGGTTGACTTCCCATGGAATAGGCCTGCTATAAATGTCAGAAATTTGGACATTAATTACTCAATTATTCATATGAACCGACGTGCTAAAAATACAGTGAATACCATCATCACATTTGAGATTGTACAAATGTCATGAAATGCCCAAACTGTGTAAGCCGACACATGGCAGGAACATTAGAGTGTTCAATCAAAATATCCCATCGAAACAAGCAACGACAACAGCAGTTGATGGATAGAGAAAGCAATCAATCATCGTCGAATGCCTATCTTTCCTTTCCAACATGATTCTACTTGAAGGTTCTCGAGATGATGACTTCACAACTCGATAATGACTTTGCCAGACCAAAGCTTACTCATGTATGCACAGTAAGACATATGCATCAATCATTAGTGATTATCCAAAAGTTCACGAAAGAAGTCAATCTATCAAAAAAGTATTTTATTCGATTGAATCAGTCAACTCAAACATAAATGTGAAGCTATTCATGAATGGCAAGCCACATTGACACAGACGATCGCAACTTAGATTCTGCTCCACATGATTATCATATCTAAGTTAATTAATCATGTTTGTGAACAACTAGTTGCAACCAAAGTTATCAAATTGCATGTCGCCGTGGTTCATCGATTCATCATAACGACAAGAGCTTACACCAGAAGTGTTACTAGGATCGTTCATGAGAACTACTCATTCGACAGCACTAATTGAATATGAAAATGACATATTCTCAGGTAGAAGGAAAGTAGAATCCAGAATTTATGGTATAGTTTCCTGAGATCATGCTTCTGTTGCATAGCAGATAAAGCAATTATACATATGTCTGGATTAACGCTAAAGCTAAGTGCGAGAGTATTAAAGAATGCAATCAATGGACACGTTGAATAGGAGTTATCGGAATATTTTGCATACGATCTCTTTGAGCAATTGACAGAGCATTATTTATTCGTATGAGAAAAATATTTCGTATTCTTTTCTGCTCTATTTTTGCGATGGAACAAGATATGATAAAATATATTACTTGACTGAAGTTTCTTATTTCTAGATTTAATATTTGACGTGTGAAAAGAATGACGACTAATGAGGCAGTCGCGTTTATGGATGATACATCTGTTGATGTCAACTTCATATGTTCGATGTGCAATGAAAAATTTAAAGATCCATATACGACGCCATGTGATCATACATTTTGTCGAGCTTGCATAATTCAGGCTACAATGACAAACTGTCCCACATGTCAACAAACCATATCAACCGATGATCTTAAACAAGCTTCTCTAACTATACGCAATATGATTGAGCGTTACCGTGTCATCTGCTCCGGTTGTAGTCAAAGTGGAATTCCGAAAGAGAATATCGATGAACATATCCAAAGGACATGTCCAAAAACGACTATTTCCTGTCCAGCACAAAGTGTCAAATGTCCGTGGAAAGGACCTCGTGATCAATTGGATAACCATTTGATTACGTGTCCTTTTAATAGTATTCGTTCGACATTCATTCAATTCAAATCTGAAAATCAACGACTGACAGAGCAACTCAGACGATTTGAAAATCATTGTGAAGTACAATATCAAACTCGTCTCCAAGATATTCAAAATATCAGAGATAATCAAAATATCAGTGTGGCTGAATTTAATGAACAGCTATTGGGAGAAGAATCAAAGATTCAAGAAAGTTTATTCAAGCTCATGCATCATAAAGATCAGATCTCTCAACTAGAACAACAAATAGTAATGCTTCAAAGTGGACTGTGCCATTGTCAATCAGAAAGAGAACGTATACATAAAGTGGCCATTCAACATGAGAATCAAATAAAAGAGTTAATCAAAAAACAAAATATCATGGCTGGTAAGACCATATTTAGTTGTCTTCTCAATAAAAGATCTGTTGTTCTTTCCAGGATTGATCGGCTATTACAATCCTGAACTTATAGATCATATAGCTCAATGTGAACAGCGATTGATGAAACTAAATGAAAAGAAATTAACCGATCGAGATCTATTCATTGTTGTTCAACATGCTATGATTAATAAACCATGCGAAGTTCTCGATCTACAATCGAATGAAATCACCAGTCAAGGTATCACGATTCTTGCCGATGCATTACGAACGAATACAACTTTGAAAACTTTGCTTCTTGACAATAATCATCTATCTGATTTGGGTGTTTCCTATCTCGCCAATGCATTGGCGACCAACAATGCCACTTTGAAAACACTGGAATTAGAACGCAACGGTATCATGGATGAAGGTGCTTCGAGTTTAGCTCAGATGCTTCAAACCAATTCAACATTGACCAATTTATATCTGTCAGCTAATCAAATCGGCGATCGAGGAGTTCAGTTATTAGCCAATGCAATTGCTGATCATAATACAAGTTTGAAAGAGTTAATTCTGGACAACAATCCACTTGTGACTGACACAAGTGTTCAATCATTGATTCATATGCTCAAACATAATCGATCACTGCAGACGCTTCGACTTTGGAATTGTCAATTATCAGATAAAGCCAAAGTGGATCTTTCTGAGGCGGCAAATTCGAAGAAAGATTTTGCACTGTTGTGTTGAAGCACTAATTTTTTCTCAATTTTCTGCTATCCCTATTGAAAATAAACTTGATCATTGTAAAATTTTTGTAAATCGACAAAATTTCGATCTACTGATTATACATGTGTCAAGGGTAGTTGCTAATAAAATTTCAAAGAATTTTTGCCTCTTGTCGATCTGCTAGATGTTATAGACATTGTTCGTGATTGATGGATGTGGATGTAAATAATGAAAAGATCGATATCCAGACCGACATCTATACTCACACTCCGTTCAATGTTTATGTATGAGTTGTAGATATAATTTGTTACATATCAATTTCTTTCTCGTACATTTGATTAATCTTGAGCAGTGCTGATTCTATAAACGTTGAACATTTCTTCTCTATAGGGAAATGAACGGAGAAATAGAAACGTTGGATGGCAAATACGAGGCAAAAAGAAACCGCTTAAAACACCCCATGTGTTTTATTTCATTCTCGAACAAGAAATCGACCCTTTTCTCTGTGACGCTCTCGGTTGCATTTATTGTGTGTCATTATCTACGCTCACTGCGTGGTTTACTTGACTGTTGATCCATGATGTTTAACTTTCCCTTGTCATTGATTCTTACCACGTTCTTTGTCCTTCCTTTTTATCATATGCCTTATCTGTCCTTTGTCATACTCTTAATATTATATTCTTTATCCTTTCTTCTGTCATAACGATATATCGTTCAGCTATCTATCTATTTCTCCTTGACTATCGCTCTCTCTCTTCTTTTTCTTATCCCTCCCGGTTATGTATGTAAACGTGTGCTTTGCATGTAAACTGTGCTATTGTATGATATGGAGCAATATAATAAAGTGTAATTCCATCTGCACTAATATTTCTTCTATCATAAATCCTCATATTCTCCTTTGATACTTAATCTAGATATCACTTTTTTTCATGTTCATCCGCTCTGTTAGATTTTGTAGTATCTTTTGCAATACAACAACGAACGATTTGCAGTCGGGAAGTGAACTTACATTCTAATCACAGCATTTATAATGTTCTATCTAATTAGTTATCATTCATAGAAATATTTTATTTTTTTCGTCATACTTTACTGTTCTCAATCGAATTTAATCATTAATCTATGATGAAAATGTTTTTGACATTGAAAGCTTTTTTATTGGTAATACTGGGTTTCGTATTAATTCTACGCGTCTGGAATTTTCACTCATGCTCACAGCCGTTGGTTCGTTCAACCATTGATTGTGATCAAGCACTTATCGAAAGTGATGCATTTATTTGTGAACCGAATGATGTTTGGAATAAACGCAAAGATGTTTTTCAAACGCAGGACGAAAAGAATATAATAAAAAGGAAACATCGTATGTTTTTCCTCTCAAATTGGGAACCCAATTTTCATTGTTCTCATGCGGAACGTGTCGGTAAAATGGGCGACGGTGGTAAATGGGTTTGTGATCTATATAAATTAAAATTTCGTTCTGATTGTTTAATATACAGTGCTGGATCACGTGGTGAGTTCTCGTTCGAAATCAGTATGAAGAGAGCTTTGCCACATTGTGAAATTCATGTGTTCGATAAGAAGCTTTACTCATGTCCGAAGAATGTTTGCATTTTTCATCAGACTATTCTCGGTGATGGCATTCGACCGAATGGATCAAAGAATTGGATGACTATTATACAAGAATTGAAACATACAAATCGATTAATTGATGTACTCAAGATTGATATTGAAGGCGGAGAATATTCTTTCTTTCCGATCATGTTTAATTCACCCAAGAATTCTTTCCCGCGACAAATTCTCATAGAACTTCATCCTCAAAATCCACGTGTTATTCATGGATTTTTCAATCTTCTTCGTAATAACAATTATGTAATCTTCAACAAAGAACCGAATTTGTTGGCAGGTGTTAAATTTTTTGAATATGCTTTCTTGAAATTAAATTCACAATTTTTTACTTATTCTCTTCACAACAATACTGAGAGATCAATATTGGAAAATGAATATTTCTCATATTGAACGTCTGCATTTATTCTTTTACTAATTTGATCAGCATTGTGACAACGTTTACTAGCAGTAATATCAATTTCATTTCTATTCAACTCATTTTGCTCATATTTGTGGGGAAGGTCTCTTTGCTAATCGTTACGTTTTGTTTATGACGATAATTTCCTTTCATATTGTCCGATCAGTGTAGTGCACAACATTGTAAATAAATAAGCGGAGTAACAATCCTCAATTAGAGCTGAAGTTTGTTTTGAAAGCTACTTTGTTCTCCTAAAGCACGTAGAGGATCTTGTGAAATGAAGTTGTTAATTGATGTAAATAATATACCGATATGATAAATTGATTGTCAAATAAACATCAATTCTTTGTTTTAGTCTGATTTTGAAGGTGTATGTAGTTGTATGGGTCGGATAGACAGAGTTTCATTTTCCCACGTTATAACGCGCTCAAATGTGCATTCCCTTATCCTCGCACAGCCATGGTTTCGAATATGATCTCATAAATGAGAAAATAAATCGAACAACATGCTGAAAACAGAAAACAATTGGAAAAAAGATCATTTTTATGCTTTTATTTGTTCAATTCACATTCGCAAACCATTTCAAATATCGATTGGAATTCCATATATAGATTCGGCACATAAAATAAGATCTAGATATATGTTTCATGTAATTTTAGTAAGCCATTATTTCTCATTCAAAAAATTCACTAGAGATCTATGGCAAGAAAATTGGAATATCATAATGCCTAAAAACGAATAAAATCATAGTATATGTGTACTCAACGAGCACATCGGCAAAGGCTACTGTGGCCGTGTGTTTTGTTGTATAGCAATTCAACACTGAGCAAATTCTATCTTATGTGCATCTCTACTGTTAATCAAATATTGATAGGATACGTGAGTGATTTATACAGATATTATAAAAGATTTAATGTGATATTAACTTTTTCTTCAAGACAATAATAAGTTTTTCATCAATTGGCAGAACCTGATTCGTATAAATATACTAGTCACTTGAAAATCACAGCTCGAAGTAGATTATTTTCTCGCCTAGTTCCATTTGTATTCAAAAACAAGACTTTCAGCGAAGAATTGATTACTATAATTAAGTTGTAATGATTTTTATGCATAGAAGGAGAGTTATTGAGGAATAAGTAAATAAAATTTTTTGTAGTTTATACAAGATAAATGATTTATTGTAAAGCTTCATATGTGTCTCTCGAGCAAATGATAACAGTGACAAAAGATAGTATCGCTTGACTTTGGGATTGAAATTATGTTCAACCGCTTCATGATGTATGCACGAAAGAGAGAGAGATGTTTTCTTAGATGTCTCCATCTTAATAATATTATCGTTTTGTAAGTGCATGACAAGAAGGTGATCCATTTATCTTTCTCAAAAATTTTGTTGAATTTGCTTATATATTTGTCCAATGGTAGAAAAACTATGTAAAATCATCAGAAACAATGATCTACAGAGCTCTTCATCTGAAGAAAGTGAAGTAATATGCAATTAATTTTTTGACAACGAAGCTTACATCTAAAATTCTACGGTAAGCTTTTAGAGAATAGAAGATAGAATCTGGTGATTAGAACACAACGTTTCTACAAGAGAAATTCACCGAGCAAAATACAAAATACCAAAATAGGATCATTTATTCTACGGCATATGTTGATTGCTGATATTTTTTTTATTAAAAATCAGCATAGTGAGTAATTATATTAGAGCATGTGAACAATATATATTTTTCGTTGCAGTCGTATTTTTGCTAACGAAATATTAGTTCCCACTGTTCTGAAAAACATGACTGATAAAAATAAAGGAATCTGAAAATGAAAAGATTTTGTCAAAAAATTTTCTAGATGGCAAATTTATAAACTATACACCATTCAGTGTAGTTTTGTATGCTGATTCTAAATATGTCATTCATCTTTCAAAAAGCTGTTTATAGTCAGAGGAAAGCCGATTTTAGCTAAATAGCAATGTTTTGTTAGGAAAATTACATATGAGGTCAGGAATATTTATACTAACTTACACTGACCATGCAGGAGACCATTCTAGCAATGTTTGAATGAATTTCCAATTGAAAAGTGAAAGCAGTGCTTTGTTTACTTACAAAGTCAATTAAAAAGAACCATTCTGGCAGAAAAAAGAAACAAGAATCGTTGAAACTGGCACTGATGATTGAACATTTTCTTATTCATTGGTAGCAGATATCAAATAAATTTATTATACATTGCTTTGATTGTCACTTTTGACACATCTATAAAAAAATGAGTGTTGTGTAAATTAATTTAATAGTTCATAGTTTGTACATTTTGGACAAAACTTGTAACTAAAGAAAAACAAAACCCTCTAAGTTTTACAATATTTTCGACCGAATAGAAGTGTTCATAAAGCTTGAAAACAATTTTTTCGTTGTTAACAGCTCAAGGTTTATCAAATCATGTATAGAAAAAGGGAGCAAACATTATAATTTGAAAATCGAGTTGCACACGCTCTGAATCACATCAATTTTTTCCATCTCACTGTAGAAATCTATGACTAATTTTGAGTTCTCATCTACAAAGGGGCACCATATGAATAAATACTTTACCGGTAAAAAACGCATATGTACACACATAATAAATGAAAAAGAAATAAAGTAATCAATAATTCTAACTAAGTTTCATCTTATCGATGATGTAGTTAAGTAGTCAAAGAAAAACAAAGAAAATATCTATAATGCATATAAAATATATTCATTCAATAGAACACTATATTCTCAATGTATACTTGTATCTTATTGAATGATTATAAATCAAATAACTTATGATAGTTAGACTATGTTAAGATGCTTTGGATTGTTAAACATGAAGTATTGAAAAGATGAAATTTATCAATGACACGACTTTTCCACTAACAAAACAGCATTCTATTCGACTTTCAGTGTATATATTTTAACAATCTTCCTTTTCTACTAGTTCAAAAAATCAATAGAATTTAACAACGGCAATTTCACAGAAATATATGATACAT